TGTGACAGTAGTTTGTTTAAACAGTCAGTGTGACAGTAGTTTATTTAAACAGTCAGCTGTGACAGTAGTTTATTTAAACAGTCAGCTGTGACAGTAGTTTATTTAAACAGTCAGCTGTGACAGTAGTTTATTTAAACAGTCAGTTGTGACAGTAGTTTCTTTAAACAGTCAGTTGTGACTGTAGTTTATTTAAAGTGAATGTGACTGTAGTTTATTTAAAGTGAATGTGACTGTAGTTTATTTAAACAATCAGTTGTAACTACAGGTTATTTAAACAGTCAGTGTGACAGTAGTATTTAAACAGTCAGTGTGACAGTAGTTTATTTAAACAGTCAGTGTGGCCATAGTTTATTTAAAGATGAGCTCTTGTATTGGGTTAAAGGCCTTGTCAGAACTGGATATATGTAGTGTGGTTGACATATCATAACACGTTCTCCTTTATACTCACGAGTTCTTAAAGTTAACACCTTTTCCACTGATTTTGCAATCTTCAAGTCAGAGAATGTATAAACTCATCCTGATTTGTAACTAAATGTGGTGTTATGAATAACTACAGTCACACTGACTGTTTATATAAACTGCAGTCACACTGACTTTAAATAAACTGTAGTCACGCTGACTTTAAATAAACTGCAGTCACGCTGACTTTAAATAAACTGCAGTCACGCTGACTTTAAATAAACTGCAGTCACGCTGACTTTAAATAAACTGCAATCACACTGACTTTAGATAAACTGCAGTCACACTGACTTTAAATAAACTACAGTCACACTGACTGACCGATGAGCTCTTGTATTGGGTTAAAGGCCTTGTCAGAATTGGATATATGTAGTGTGGTTGACATATCATAACACATTCTCCCGATGAGCTCTTGTATTGGGTTAAAGGCCTTGTCAGAATTGGATATATGTAGTGTGGTTGACATATCATAACACATTCTCCCACTGGCTGGGATACGACAAGCACAGTGGTGGTCTATATATATCAGCAATTTTCATGAACGACTATTATGGTTTGAACCATATTAAGCAAGTGAATTGTAATTAACATTTTTATATATGTCAGTTATAAGTGAGATTGTTAAGGTAAGAATTAATATACAATGTTATTTTTATCACTGATTGTTTTTTTATTTGACTCAACTTTACTATCATTCACGAGAACTGGAATGGTAAAACAGTATACCTGTCTTCCTGTTTGTGGAGTTGACTAATAGTTAGTGTTATTAAACAGTGTTACCAACTCATAACTGTAACCTTCAAGTTCACCAGATATGTGACATGACACCAAGCCTCTTCATAACCACATAATAATGGTGTTATTCAATATAAACCGTGTGTGTAAAGCAGCAGTTAACTAGAATCTGTGTAAGATAAACAACTATTTCTAATAACTTCTAAGAACAAAACTTCTTTCATATTTCTCAGTTGTATTCTAGATTTGAAAACACGAGATTAACAGTGGGAAGCACATAACTGCAACTGTATATAATTTACAGTAACCACTGATATCCCATTACTGTGCACATCAAAATATAACTTACAGGTACTACTGATATCCCATTACTGTGAATATTAAAATATAACTTACAGGAACATTGTTGTTCATATTAATACATAATTTACAGGTACCACTGCTGTTCCACTGTTGTGCATATTAAAACGTAACTTTCAGGTACCACTGCTGTCCCATTGTTGTGCATATTAAAACACAACTTACAGGTACCATTAATGTTCCATTGATGTGCATCTTAAAACATAACTTTCAGGTACCACTGCTGTTCCACTGTTGTGCATATTAAAACATAACTTTCAGGTACCACTGATGTCCCATTGCAGTGCATATCATAACATAAGTTACAGGTACCATTAATGTTCCATTGTTGTGCATATCAGAACATAACTTACAGGAATTATTTACGTTCCATTACTGTGCATATCAGAACATAACTTACAGGTATCACTGACGTTTCATTACTGTGCATATCAGAACATAACTTACAGGTATCACTGACGTTCCATTACTGTGCATATCAGAATATAACTTACAGGTATCACTGACGTTTCATTACTGTGCATATCAGAACATAACTTACAGGTATCACTGACGTACCATTACTGTGCATATCAGAATATAACTTACAGTTATCACTGACGTTTCATTACTGTGCATATCAGAACATAACTTACAGGTATCACTGACGTTTCATTACTGTGCATATCAGAATATAACTTACAGGTATCACTGACGTTTCATTACTGTGCATATCGGAACATAACTTACAGGTATCACTGACGTTCCATTACTGTGCATATCAGAACATAACTTACAGGTATCACTGATGTTCCATTACTGTGCATATCAGAATATAACTTACAGGCACCATTGATGTTCCATTACTGTGCATATCATAACATAACTTCCAGGTATTATTTATGTTCCATTACTGTGCATATCAGAACATAACTTACAGGTACCACTGCTGTTCCATTGATGTGCATATTAAAACATAACTTACAGGTATCACTGATGTCCCATTACTCTGCATATCAGATCATAACTTTTAGGTACCACTGCTGTTCCATTGATGTGCATATTAAAACATAACTTTCAGGTACCACTGCTGTTCCATTGATGTGCATCTTAAAACATAACTTTCAGGTACCATTAATGTTCCATTGATGTGCATATTAAAACATAATATTCAGGTACCACTGCTGTCCCATTGTTGTGCATATTAAAACATAACTTACAGGTACCATTCATGTTCCATTGATGTGGATATTAAAACATAACTTACAGGTACCATTAATGTGCATATGTTACAGGTATCACTGATGTTCCATATCAGTATATAACTTACAGGTATCACTGACGTTACATTACTGTGCATATTAGAACATAACTTACAGGTATCACTGACGTTCCATTACTGTGCATATCAGAACATAACTTACAGGTACCACTGTTGATCCATTGTTGTGCATTAATACTTTTTATCAAACTTTCACACTTTGTATTATATTACATCATAATTTATTTTCAAATTTACACATTTCATTAATATTTAATGCATCCTGTTTTACAAACAATATTAGTGGATGACAGTTCTCGGTGTTATCTATACGAATATTAAACTTAGGTTAAACAAAGACTCTTGGAAATCATTTCTTAGTCTTACAAAATGAAATTTGTTCAAAACAATTTAACATGTTAGAGTAAGTATGTAATACTTAGGTTTCACTTTTTGGTTTTAAAAGTAACCATTACACCAAAAATTATAGCAAAATGGAGTAATGAAAGTAAAAAAAAATTCTGTAAAACAAAAGTGAAAATAATCTTTTAAATTTATACTAGATCATTAAATTACTTTTAACATAAAGCACTTCTCTGTTGATTATATTTTGTAACAGGAAAACTTCTTCAAAATCTTACTTATTGACAAAAAATACTTCTCAATACCTGTTCAAAAGAAACTACTTAAAATCTCTAACCCACAAGTCAAAATATGTTAATCTTTACAAAAGTAATGTATGAAAGTTTTAACCGTATGACATTTAGCACCTCTTAGGAACAAAGTTTAGAAAAACACAATCTTTTTTTCAAAATATACTTAAAAAAATATCTGTCATTTCAAAGGGTGAAGAGAGTTTATAATTATGTGAATAATAGGTACACTATATTTCAATAAGTCATTGACTAAAGGCACCTCAAAAATAAACCATGTATAATATGAAACACCAATTATAATTACAATAGTTATACTTCACTAACACACAATAATGTTAAACAAGAACATCTGGATTTACTTATTCTTCACTGTAAAACCATCAACTGAGTTATTACTAATTTATGATCTTACAGTTGACATAACAGAAAAGGCACTTAGCAGGTTTTGATTATCAAGGTAAATAAATAAAACGAAAGTACAGAGAAGACATAGATTATACGTTCGAGTTGCAGAATACTTCAAATAAATATTGTAAAAAATTCCATATTCAATATCTTTGTTTGCTCACAATAATATACAGATAAATACACTTGACTTTACTGCAGTAGTAGAAGATTCTTGGGCACTGTAAAAAAAAAAAAGAACTGAATTAAATATACAACAATGTACAAAATCACATTCATGACAGTAACAAAAATGTTACTGTAAACCTAATAAAACCCTAGCACTGCCATTATACTCTTTTTACAAAGCACACAGTGGCCTTCCATTTACTATCTACTCCTCAAGAAATTAGATCCACCCATTAAAAAAAAATGTTTTTTACGGGTGTATTTCACTTATAGAAGCACAAAAAAGGCAGTTAGATTAAAGGTTAGTTTATTTCTGGTATCCTTTTGTGAATCAAGGTTTAGCTGTTGAAATAGATTAAGACATAATCTTCATAATTTTTTTGAAAATATATTTCCAATGTAAACAAAACATTAATCGAAGGTGTTGTTACTGTATTATACTAGTTATTCAAAATGTGTATTCCCAATATTAAACACGTCACTAACACAAGGTGTTGTCACTATACTATACTAGTTATTCAAATTATGTATTCCCAATATTAAAAATGTTACTAACACAAGGTGTTGTCACTATACTATACTAGTTATTCAAATTATGTATTCCCAATATTAAAAATGTTACTAAAACAAGGTGTTGTCACTATACTATACTAGTTATTCAAAATGTGTATTCCCAATATTAAACACGTTACTAACACAAGGAGTTGTCACTATACTATACTAGTTATTCAAATTATGTATTCCCAATATTAAACACGTTACTAACACA